TGCACTTTCTGCAGTGAGTGACTCTGTGCCAGTGCGACACCTGTCTCTGAACCCTAATCAGGCAGCGTGCACGGCCACTCGCAAAACAGACAGCCGCGCCTTTGCTTGCGCGGGCGTTTTTTTTTTTTTAATTCGAATATTAATTTTCACCTTCGAATTTCTGTTTTTTAAAACTATTCGAATATATATTCGAATTTAGAGTATTCGTTGACAGCCCTAGTTGGCACTCTTGTTACCGGAAGTTGTTAGTTCCGCCTTCTCTGACATCACACGTCATTAAAGATAGCAAGCGTGATTGGACCTGTTTCTTCCTCTCTTATTTTTGAAAGAAAACAAAATATGCTAAAGGATCAAAAGTCCTTTATTGACAAATATTTGAGTCCGTGAATCATGAAAGACTCATTCAGAACTTGTTTGAGAAGATCATCAAAAAGAAACAAAATCAATAGAAAGTTTGCTCATTGGACATTTTACTTCATCTCGACTTTTCCATGTATGGGAGTCGTTTTGTTTTGGGCGAGTCTTTTTTGGGGAGTGCTTTTGTGTCGCTGTACCTTTAAATAGATTATTAGCAGATTGAGGCAAAGTAAAGTTGTTTAAATGCAAATGATCAACAGTGTTTGTGTTTAATGAGGATTTTGATGGTGATCTTTTCCCTGTGCCACATGAGAGAGTGCAGTAATTGTGTGGGCTGTTTTAGTATGCAGAGGCAGCGACGCTATGTTTCGGGCGACTGCAGTCTGGGTTTCTGCTGAGTCGGCTGCTTTTCCTTGGCGGTTCAGGACTCATTAGGCCTGTAATGTCTTAATTCTGTCCTCTCTACAAAGCCGTACTGACATCGCTAATATTTTACCTCCTGAAATGCATCACACAATTGATGCCTGTTGGGTTGATAAGCTAATTGACTGACATTGACCCTTTTTCTTGTGTGTGTGTGGCTAGTTTAATTTGCTGTCGTTTTAATAATAGGGGGCTGGAAATCACACCACCACACCCATAGATCACATCTGGGCTTTTGGTAGCACTTATTTCATTATTATTTCTGGGAAAGCTGAATTTTTAAAGCGACTGCAGCGCTGAGAGTGCATTTTGACTGCAGGGTTATTTATATTATCGGATATTTATTCTGTCAGGCGGGAACTAAATTACACAATCTCATGCATTCCTGTGTAACACCAGAAAATTTGCTGACTCTGTGAATGCTATAAGCAATTCATTTTTTATAGAAAATGACTTTGTATGTTTGCAGAAAATGGCTGTTTTTTTTATGAAGCATGCAGAGCATTTCAGGACAAAACCACATTTTGTTGAGCTGATGTGAATGGCAGACGCTGTGGCTTTAAGGGCAGACTGACCACAGGGGTGAACCGAGTGTCAGTGCCGACCACAGTCAGTGATCACTGTTACTGTGCTCGAATCTCTGAAGAGGGATGTTAATGGTAGTACTCAGATTAAAGTGTCTGGTATTCATCTACTGCTGCAGTGGAGTTGAGATGTATCTGTTTATCTGTCTGTCGTTCTATCCGTCTGTTGTTCTTTCTGTCTGTCTCTATCGTTTTGTCTGTCGCTTTGTCTATCTGTCTGTTTCTCGTTTTATCTGTCCGTCTATCTGTTTGTCATTTTGTCTCTTTCTTTGTGTCTGTCTGTCATTCTGTCTGTCTGTAGTTGTACCTATCTATCTGTGAGTCTGTCTCTTTCTTTCTCTCTGTCGTTTTATCTATCTGTCTGTCTCTGTCGTTTGATCTTTCTGTTTGATCTTTCTGCCTGTCTCTGTCGTTTGATCTTTCTTTCTTTCTGCCTGTCTCTGTCATTTGATCTGTCTATCTGTTGTTTGATCTGTTTGTCTGTCGTTTGATCTGTCTGTCTCTGTCGTTTGATCTGTCTGTCTCTGTCGTTTGATCTGTCTTATCTGTCGTTTGATCTGTCGTTTGATCTTTCTGTCTGTCTCTGTCGTTTGGTCTGTCTGTCGTTTGGTCTGTCTGTATGTCTGTTGTTTGATCTTTCTATCTGTCGTTTGATCTTTCACTCTGTCGTTTGATCTTTCTGTCTGTCTCTGTCGTTTGGTCTGTCTCTATGCCTGTCGTTTGATCGGTCTATCTGTCGTTTGGTCTGTCTGTCGTTTGATCTGTCTGTATGTCTGTTATTTGATCGGTCTGTCGTTTGATCTGTCTGTCTCTGTCGATTGATCTGTCTCTCTTTCATTTGATCTGTTTGTCTGTCGTTTGATCTGTTAGTCTGTTATTTGATCTGTCTGTCGTTTGATCTGTCTGTCTCTGTCGTTTGATCTGTGTCTCTTTCATTTGATCTGTTTGTCTGTCGTTTGATCTGTCTATCTGTCGTTTAGTCTGTCTGTCGTTTGATCTGTCTGTTAGTCTGTTATTTGATCTGTCTGTCGTTTGATCTGTCTGTCTCTGTCGTTTGATCTGTGTCTCTTTCATTTGATCTGTTTGTCTGTCGTTTGATCTGTCTATCTGTCGTTTAGTCTGTCTGTCGTTTGATCTGTCTGTTAGTCTGTTATTTGATCTGTCTGTCGTTTGATCTGTCTGTCTCTGTCGTTTGATCTGTGTCTCTTTCATTTGATCTGTTTGTCTGTCGTTTGATCTGTCTATCTGTCGTTTGGTCTGTCTGTCGTTTGATCGGTCTGTATGTCTGTTGTTTGATCTGTCTGTATGTCTGTTGTTTGATCTGTCTATCTGTCGTTTGGTCTGTCTGTCGTTTGGTCTGTCTGTCGTTTGGTCTGTCTGTATGTCTGTTTGATCTGTCTGTATGTCTGTCGTTTGATCTGTGTCTCTGTTGTTTGATCTGTCTGTCTGTCGTTTGATCTGTCTCTCTGTATCTGTTGTTTGATCTGTCTGTCTGTCGTTTGATCTGTCTCTCTGTATCTGTTGTTTGATCTGTCTGTCTGTCGTTTGATCTGTCTCTCTGTATCTGTTGTTTGATCTGTCTGTCTGTCGTTTGATCTGTCTCTGTATCTGTTGTTTGATCTGTCTGTCTGTCGTTTGATCTGTCTCTCTTTATCTGCTGTTTGATCTGTCTGATCTATCTATCTCTCCGTCTGTCTGTCTGTCTGTCTGTCTGCCTGCCTGTCTGTCTGTCTCTCTCTATCAACACATGTGATTTAATGTATTGGCCAAGCTGAAAAAGATTGACTTTTTAGAAATTATCGCACAGAACTTGAGAGCTGAACAAATTTACTTCTGAAAGACGTCAGTGTAAAAAAACAAACAAACTGTACAACGAATCTTAAATGCAGTCAACGGATTCACTATTTGTTGTGTGTAATATTTGCAGTTGATATATTTGTGATCTGTGCAAGATCTTGTCTTTTTCTGTTCTTTTGGCACTCCATCTCTTATTCTTTCTCTTCATCGGTATTGTAACTGTTCCCCGAGGAATAACCTCTAACCTGATTCCCATGCGTAACCTTACCCAGATCCTGACTGAACTCTTGGCCTCCTGCCTACACATTGTTTCTTTCCTCCACCTGGACACCCTAGAACAGGCGCTGCCTATAACCTGATCCAGCCTTTGTTTTCTGCTCTCGGACTCTCAAAACACATATATTATTCACTCGCTGACAACTATTTCAGCAGCAATCCATGTCATCTGCTAAACAAATTCTTGGTTTCAACCAGCCTGAACATTGACCTTCACAAAAAGTTGGACAAAAGTTGTAGAAAACCAAGACATCAAGTTAAGCTTTGCCGTGTTGCATTGAGGCAGAAAATAAGACCATCCTCACACTTCCACAAACATTTTTTGGTCATCCGCCAGTGAAAAAAGCAGGTAGTGAAAGATATCAGATGGATGTTATGTTTGTGAAAGGAGGTATGCTTTCAGTCTCTATACAATCTCCTTTGTCTTCCCTAAGCCGCCTAATTGAACTAGCTATGTTGTCACTCTTCTTTGGCAGGATATGCTGCCTATTTTTAGACCTCCATTTCAGGGTGGCCGTGTTGTCATCTATTTTGAAACCTCTATTGAGTTTTCTTTCCTTAGCTCTCAGGGCTGTATTTATGATAACACAGAGGGCTAGTCTCTCTTTTGACAGCTTTTCTTTACACTGCAGATGATGAGGGGTAAGCCAATTTTCATTGTGAGCTACAGTCTGGGACCCTTTGAGGCCCTTCTCATGCTAACAAGTCCACTGCCAGGAACTCAACCTTGACATGTATGCAATGACTTCAGTGAGATTTTCAAAAACACGCCCTAGTTAATGCCTCTTGAAAGATGCCACCCGCTGTTTCTGTTAGTCATTTTCTAGATCATATTACAGTATTAATCTTTCAAGTCCACTTGACACTGTTTATATATGTAAACCTGTCGTATTATTATCAATGTTGTAAACAGTTTTTGCTGTCGTACATTGTTTTGAGGATAAAGAACAGAACAGGGTTTATTTTAAATCACATATTTACCCCCATCATAATTTCCACAAAAGATTAAGCGTCAACAACTTTTCATCATTAATAATAGTAAGAAATGTTTCTTGAGCACCAAATCAGCATATTATAATGGATTCTGAAGGATCATGTGACACTGAAGAGTAATGATGCTGAAAATTACAGGGATAAATTACATTTTAAAAGAAAGTATCATTGAAAACAGTTCATTTAAATTGTATTACTGTTTTTGATGAATTTTTAATGTTATAATAAATGCAGCCTTGGTGAGCAAGAAAGACAAAACATTAAAAAATTCTTAATCCCTAACTTTTGACTGGTAGTTAATATTATATTGGTGTGTATACAGTTTGTCTTTTATTTTTTATGTGAGGATTTTTTGAAGCTTATTGCAGCTATGAAGCAGAGATGTGTTTAAACAGTGATTAAGAGTAAATGATGAAGTATAAAATATGACTTCTGTGTTTGGGGGAGTTGTTCGTTTCTCTCACCGAGTCTCCTCAGTTTAGATTTGCTCTTATTTGAATAGTTTATGATCAGGATCGGAGAGAGCCGCTTTAGCTCTGGTCTGATGTTTTATTCTCCTTTGTGTTCCAGGAAGAAGTTGAGACTGACAGCAGGAAGAGCTTGTTCAAGGCTGGGAGAAATCGGAGCACCATTCGCTGCTTCATAACAGTGGGTAAGTGAATCTGCAGTGAAACGCACTCAAATAGATCGTTCACATAAAGAAAGAAAGGTGGAACGCTGCTGGTAGGATGTAGCGAATTAAATCTTGTGCAAAACAAGCTGTTGCTTTGTGCCTGTAGGGTTTCTTCAAGGGTATAGGAACTAGTGCTAGGCGATCTATCGATATTCTGACAATCGCAGTGATTTTAATGCATTGTGTTTTTGTCCATTGGCACAATCCCAAGTGTGAGCCTGTCCAGATGTTTTAATGTTTGCTGACCTCGGCAGCAAAAATGTTAAAGGTATACTTCAGGATTTAGCATTAAGCATTGTATTAGTAGAAAACCTGTAGTATTTTCAAATTACCATGCTTTCCACACTCATATCCCCCTGAGAATAGAGATTTATGTATTTTTTTTGTCTGGAAAAAAATCCTCTGATGACGCAAAAATCTTCATTTTGCATCATCTGAGGATTTTTTGGCCAGATTTTTTGCATCATCGAAGGATTTTTTGGCCAGAGGCTAAAGACTACAGCCAGTAGTAGGGGCTGTCCCACATGTTTTCAACCCGCCCATAGAGGGTGGATCTCACTCAGAGAATGAACAGATAGTGTCGGCCATCTTTTTTTGGAAGCTAAGCTAGCAGGCTCTTGTTCTGTGGAAAAAGCTGAGTAGTAGGGGTTACCATCCTCTTTTTCCCGCATATGTCCGGCCGTTGATGTCCGGGATTCAGCTTTTGCTTTCTGCAATCGCCATTCACTGTTTACATGCACAGCTTTTGTTTCAATCTAACTGAATTGATTCCATTGGTGAATGTGAATGTAGTGTTTACATGAACGCTAAAACAAGTGATCGGTTGATGTGCGTTTTAACATTGCTAAGAAAATTCCCGCTCCTCCGCGAGAGATACGATACCGGTGTGTCTCACGCTCATCGGTAATCACGCCACCGTTCTCCCGCGGCCCTCACTCGTCCCGCTCGCCACAGTAAACTTAATGAATGGCGACTGTAGAACGCAAAAGCCGAATCGCGGACATTTTGTGCGATCTCGAAACACATTTTCGGGCAGACTCATCGCAGAGACTCGCTAGTAGCCTAGACTTGTTGTTTAACTACTGCGCTCTGTTACCGGTAGGCGTGGCCTCCTAGGGCAGTGAAGCAAGTGCATTCTGGGAGTTGTTGTCTTTCATCCACATCAGCCAAAAATACATTTTCTGGCTTTTCTCAGTCTAGAAAGCTCCAAATTAAAAAAAATTCACATTTCTACATAAATAACCCATTTTAAATACACATTCATCTTCCCTGAGGTGAAGTATCCCTTTAAGTTGGCAGGTTTTATTAATTTCTGTGAATCCTTCTGTTTTTATAATTCATGAATAGTTGGCATCGTGACTTGATGTCTATGCCTATTTTTCATAATTAAATAGACATACAAACACTGCTATTGAGTTTGGGCAGTCTTTTCTGCTCACTACGGCTGCATTTATTTGCTCAATAATACAGTAAAAGCAGTAATATTGTGAAATATTATTACAATTTAAAATCACTGTTTTCTGTTTGAATACATTTAAAAATGTAATTACGTTCTCTGGTTTAAATTGTGGATGACCTATGGAAAATAACATTTAGTTCTCATGGTAATATGATTAATCTTTTTAAGAATTAAAGAGTTTTATTAATTTATTTAACAGAGGAGGTATGAATATAGCCTTCGTGCTATGTTTCCATGACTTGCCAGCAGAGACATACGGCAGCCTCAGAGATGAGATTACATGGGCCTGGATTCATTTACCTCTCACTTTTCAGCTCTGATGACGCCTGTCAAGTTCTGTTATTGATGTTACCAGTCAGAGCGTGTGCACTTCATGGTTAACTAACACTGATTTACTGATTCATTTCAACTATATGTAGATTTAATAATTCAATTGCGTCGTCAATAGACTTGTTTTAGTTATCGCATTTAGTGATCGCTCACTGTTGCACTTCCAACCCCTTCACATTTGCATTTAATTTTGGCTGTTACAGGTTCCTGCACAAAGCTTATATAATGACACAGATGACAGCATACTTCCAGATTTGGAATAGGAAGCATATTAAAAAGCTGCCTGGAAGTGACCTGCTAGGACACAATTCATTTTCAATGAGATGGGCCAATGATCATGGCATTTATAGTGTATTCATTTACTGTGTTTCTATCCAAAGTTGCGGATTTAAAGTAGCGTTTCCTTCCATTTCTGTTTTGTTCAAGAGAACAAAATCATCAATTCCTGGAATACCTTTTTAAATAATAAGAAAGGAAGTCATTGTGAGTCATTTTTGTACATCTTAATTGATTTACACCTCAGAGCGTGCGCCCCAAATGCAGTAAACACTCATGTTCTCTTGCGTCCGGATGCCTGGTGTTTGGGAACAAGATCGTTTGTGACAATTCAGTGAGGTTATTACTGTATATAAAATCATCTTCATGACAGATTTTGTATTTCAGAATGATCAAACCAACGTTTTAGATGCTAAGCAATGAAATTGCTCTATTGTTTAGTCCAGTTGTCCAATCACATCCACTGTTTTTTGTTGCGCATTGAGGGATTTATTAAGTAAAAGTATTTCCATCGTACACTCTCAGAAAAAAAAGGTACAAAAGCTGTCACTGGGGCTGTACCTTTTCAAAAGGTAAACTTTTGTATCCAAAGTCTACATATTGGTACCTTAGTGGTACATATTAGAACCTAAAATGTACATATTAGCACCTAAAATGTACATATTATCACCTAAAATGTACATACAGTATTAACACGTAAAATTGACATATTACTACCTAAAATGGACATATTATCTCATGAAATTGACATATTAGCACCTCAAATGTACATATTAACACTTAAAATGTACATATTCGCACCTAAATGGACAAAAGTTTACCTTTTGAAAAGGTACAGCCCCAGTGACCGCTTTTTTACCTTTTTTTTCTGAGAGTGTAGTGTATTCGCATGTCTTATATATTGGATTAAAAAATGATCAAATTTGTATGTGTATTTTTAAAATGTATGCTGCTTTCCGTCCAGCATTTTTATTTTATGTGATATCCGAAAATTCAATAGTTATGACTGCAGGACGTATATTACAAATGTTTTCACACATCCACTAAAAGGCTTGGATTAAAAGATCAATCTGGGGATGTTAAGAGTCAATACCGGATTATTCAAATGAAGAAATCAATGTTTTTACCCAGCGAAATACTCTTTCATTAGCAGCACACTTGAAAGTGGTTCAGCATTTACTGTGTCCTCTCAGGTCTTACATCATTTCTGTGCTATTTTAAGGAGATTAATAGAGCAGGGTCTTTTCGTCCCTTCTGTCAACGTCACAACCCGAGCTGATTTTATTACGAGCCGCTCTGCATCACACCAAGAAGCCCGTCAGATTTGAGGGAGATCAGCATGTTCATTCAGGCTGATGGGAATGGCTTTTCAAAGCTTGTATTGTTTGAGAGCCGTTTCTATGGTCTTGTTGCGCCGGCTTAGCAAAACCTTGGAGGCTTTGCATGTCCCTGGTGAAAAGTGCCTCTTGTTTTAGAAGTAAGCCATCTAAAGACATTGGTGCCTGGGGTCTGGGATATTCTGTGATTCTGGGTTTCTTTCATTTGCTTTGAGGAATTAACCGCCTTCCAAAACGCCAGCTTTAAGACTGCAGTGGGGGCTCATGGGAGCAGCGGGGTGGAAAGAGCAGATGAGCACCTGCTCTACAGGTGATGTGTGAGAGGAGACCGCATATGAGCAGAAGTCCTTAATCAAGGGCATTCACTCTCGAACACTAAATAAGATTAATGGTACCATTTCGTCTCGTTTTCACTGTCCCACAATAGAGGTCGGTGGGGGAACCAAAATCGCATGAGTGATTTAAATCACTGCAACCGTATTTATCACAATATACTCATTTTAGATGGTATTTCATCAAAAAAATTTTCATCTACTACTTTTACTAGTTATAAGAATAAGGATGCACAATATATATTGGTACACACACAATAATTTTGAATATTTATTTTTAAAATATTAATTTTAATCACCTATAATTTTACGTCTTTGGTAACTTTGGCGATAATCTAGCACTCAATTATTGTTTTCGTAACGCTAATAACACTGTCACAAATCATAATATTTAGCAGATCACAAAATTAATGTTTTTTATATGCATTTAAAATATTAGACAGTATTTAAATGTTTTGCATTCATAATTGTAAGTGCTTTTGGACAGAACCCATTAGATTTATTTTTTAAAACTTGGTGTTACTATTTTTTGATTGTATTGTATTACTTTTATTGTCCTGCCAAAGCTGGACATTTTTCTTTGTTCACACCAGACCTATAAAAGCATCTCTATACACATAAAACATATATAAACATACCAACATCATATCCCATCAGTTCCATACATTACATTTCTCCGCTCATCACATAGTAAGTTTCAACTCTGGAGGATGAGCCACATTAGTAGCCAATAACAAGCAACCATAAATCCATAAAGCAGTTCAATTCTATATTAATATGCGTCAATATGAACAAAGGCCAACAGTTTTGTCATCTTTACTTTTTTAGGATTTACTTTTAGTTTAGTTTACCCAATGTTTCTTCACATTGTTTTTGAATCCTCTCCCGTTTGATGTTTCACACTTTCACAGTGTGGTCTGCAGTCTTTTTTTTGCTCTTGCCACTCCAGGTTTCTCCCTTACTTACATTTTTTCACAGATTACATCCATTCTCCTTATTACATGTATTATAGAACACAAAAGATGTAGTGAAACCCTGAAGGCAAAAATGTGCTTTCAGGTTTGATCTTTCTTTCTGTCATCATTACTATAATAAGGCCTTGCTTCAGAGTTAGGAGGAGCTGTCTTGGACTGTAAGGGATCTTCAATGACCTTTCACAATAACAACTTACTTTTTTTACATTATGTGTAAATGCAGTGTCTAACATGTATTCGCCTCGGCTCGTATAGGATGTTGTGGTCCGAT